TACTAGCTGCAGTAAATGTACTTTCATGTTTTACATTATCTGTGTATGTATATTCCTAAAACATCAGTCTCTAAGACTGCAAATTTCTACAGAAATGCAACTTTCTATTATTGCATTTCAAAAGCAATAATACACACAATCACACAAACTTCTACCGGTTTACATTACAGAGAATATTTACCATGGAATTAGCTTAAAACTGTTACATTACCTATCATAATGACCTTAATAATTCAACATTTATGAAGCAGTACTTCAGTTTTGTTTTGTTTTTTAAAGATTTATCCATTCATTTATACAAGCACTGGGTACAGTCAGAAGTGCGGGAGGGTGAGAGAATTCACCAGAGCCAGAGGGGAGAGCAGAGCAGGCAGATTGATGAAGTGATGAAGTACACTGCTGAGGGGAGCAGCGGGCAGCAGGAGAGGTCTGCGCCATGTGGGACCCTTGCTGGTGGCCAGGGATTGAACCGGCGCTGCAGAGGCTGCAGGCAGCTTCGCAACCCAGCGCTCAACCGCTGCGCCACCGGGGAGGCCCAGTTCTATCCTCCAAATACTGGTTATACTGGGTAAATGACTTTTCAAATCCTGTTAATTAACAACAGGACTTTTAAAAACTTTTTTTTTAAAGTTTAGGATTTCAAAGAGTTATGTTTAATAATAAAAACTGAGAACATTATCAAATTTTAAAGCCAAACATCAACACTTTTTGACATTATCTTATTGGAGAGTACACTGCTTAAATTTATGAAGACATTTATGGCTACTACAACTCAAAACTATTAAATTTATTCTATGCCATTACTATAATACTCTAAAGGATTAGAAAATTCACTTTCAGGAACAAAACCTACCAGTTTATTTCTAAAGTTTAGCTTATGTTTTAAAAATAACGCTCTTTTCACTTTCATAAGTATCTAAGCTCAAAGCAAATATATTACCTGAGACCCACTGAAATATGAAAACTTTCAAAAGCCCCCAATATAAATAAGCTCCTTGGAAACAAGCACTACTCAATTTTACAATCACTTTAAAGCAGGTGATATAAGTAAGTGAAAGGGGAAAAAATCCTTAACCATGGTTAAGAGAAAAATGAAGAAGCATGGATTTTGTAAATCAATTCAGACTCAGACCATGGCTCCAACATACATCCCCGGTAAACAATAGTAATTTAAACTTCTCTGAGTCTTGATGACCTTAGCTATAAAACAGTGTTAATACTACTTACATGAAACAATTGGTTTGAGGATAAAATGAGATAACATTAGGGAAGGATAGAATCCATTAAAAGTTCCTTCCATATCTGTATTTTGTTACAGTGAATGATGCTTGCAAGAAAAGCAGGACAGTGATAAGGTCTCCAAATGGTCTGTCACACAAATTTTGTATAATACAAAATGACTCCTTTATCATCTCATATAGAAAACTATTCTAACTTGGGGACCTCCCTGGTGGCACAAGCGGTTAAGTCTCAGCACTACCAAGCTACTGGCAGCCACTGCAGCACAAGTTCAATCCGCAGGCCAGGAAACTAACCCACATGGTGCAGCAGATCACTTCTGTCTCTTCTGCTGCTCCCCTTAGCAGTGTTTTTCAGTAGATCTGCCTGTTCTGTTCCCCACTGTCTCTGGTGAATCCTCTCACTCTCCACACCTCTTGTACGCATAAATAAAATAAATCTTTAAAAAAAATAAGAAAACTATTGTAATTTTAGGAGCAAAGATCTTTCTACAAATAAACTTCCATCATTAACTCCTTTTTATCTAAGGGTGGGAACATGTCTCTTCTATTCATTTCCCAATTTCTGGAAGGAACTTGTTTCTTCATTTCCATATTTCTTGCAGGAACTGTGCAAGAACACATTCATTCAATCACGTGTTCATTTATTCAGCAAACACTTACTGAGCACTGACTTTGAGCCAGATACTGTCTAAGTAGTGAGGTAAGAAATGACTAATGAGAAGACAATGACCAAGTAGCTTTTAGTCTAGTGAAGGAGACAAACATTTATTAAATACAGAAATAACAAAGTTCCTATTGCAATGATGCTACAAAATATAATTTTAGAATAGGTAAAAACAGAGTTTTGAGGAGGGGTCAAAGCAAGTAAGGAAAGGTTCTCCTGAGGAATGACAATTAAACTGAAACTTGAAAATTGACTACTTGGTCATTTGGGAAGGGGATGGGAAGCAGTCCAGGTAGAGGAATGGAATATGTACAAAAGCTCCCACATCAGGAAGAAGCTTTTGTATGTAGTAATTAAAAGGTACACTAAATGAGAAAGGCTGAGATTAAGGATAAAGTGCTGAATAGAGGCAAAAGATAAACTATTAGCATTAAACAAAGTAAGAAATAGTATGTGACAATTTAAGTCATTTTATGTCTTCTATTTTTGTCATATAAAACAAATAATCTAAGGGAACTGAGTCTTTATTCCACTATTTTAAAGATATGAAGTCAAAAGACCTGGATTATGCTTTGGTTCAACTGTATGACCTTGCACTTTACCAATCTGAACTTCTTTCTCTTTACAAGCAGGTACTCAATTATTTTAACTACCAAAAATACAATAATAATACATAGTCCTGTTCATTTAGACCTTATATATCCTTAACGGGATAGAAACAGATGTGTATAAGAGACATACTAAGTGCTGTAAGAGGTGATGTCCAAAAACTAACACAAAGCTCCTAGGAAACACAAAAGGAATACAAATGTGAACACTGTTGATGTACAAGTTTACATCGCTCTGTGAATCCCAAATTATTCAATGTGCAGAGATCCAAAATAAGTGCTACACTACCCCAGCATGTGATTGAGAGATGATAAACAGAACAGAATATGACTCTGCCACTGCAACATAAGTGAAATATCTAGACATAATGGGCCTCAGAATAAAGAGAAGTTAGAAGTGCAACTGAACCAAGAACAAGAGTAACTAACACTGAACAAGTGCATATTAACTCTACTGATTTCCCAATCCTCCTGACTTTAAGTTCAAAAGCTCATTCTTGAGGCTCATAGCTGCATGCCAAAAGCTACAAGAATTTTTTTCACACTCCCCCAACAAAAAAGGAAATACCTAGACTCCACCTAGAAAAGGCATTAACAATTCTTGCTTTACTATCACTGACTAGTCTTCAGTTTATGGTCTACTTAAAACTACCACACCTTCTAATGTATCACCAAGCCAGTTATCCTCATTTAACTTCCCACTTCTTTAGTTGATCCTCCTTCCTTGTGTACTGTACTAATCATGACACTCTATTATTCCTTATTTTACTTTATTATGCAGTATCATATCTCCCTTCTATTTTAGAAGTTGTATTAATTTCCACATCATCTTAACTCTAATTACAGGTAAATGTAGTATCTCTGATCTTAGAAGGTTTTGCATTTATAAGGAAGACACATAGTATCAATAATTACAGAGTACATTAAAAATCCAGCATATTTCAAGTTAATTTATTTAACAGCAAATCATTACTGATTATCTTTTACCAGTAGACACCTAATTCTTATATAAAAACTTATCACTAAAAATTTTTGATGTTAAAAATTTATTCGAGAATTATCCAATAGTAGTATTTATGACTTACAGTTGGTCATAACAATTATGGCTATTTTCTCACAAAATGTGTTATTTTTCCATTTTTTTTCAATGTAAATTAAGGTTAATTTAAAAACCACTGATGATGCTAAGAAAAGTAAATACATAAAGGCCTGATGTTATTTATTTACACTTAGACACACACACACACACCCCTCTCCAAGAAAAGCAATGTATTTCTTTATTAGTAAGGAGCACACTAAACTTCGGATACCATAGTATGTGAAAAAATTGTGAAATAGTTTTGCAAAAGAATTAAAATCCTTCTGTTCTCAGTTTTACAAAACAGGAGTAAAAACTGCCGTGACATAGGAAGGGAAAAAAATATTTATTTTTAAGAATGAGATATACTGTTTAACAGATGTTCTCTTATCTCATCATCTACCGTTTAAAATTGTGGTACAGCTTATCATGTAATATTCCCCAAATAAATAAGAGAAGTATGTAAGTTGAAACTGATTCCTATTTTTCCAAAAGGTTAGAGTGCGACCTTTTTGAGTGGAATTTTCTCCCTCGCTCAGAATAACTTTTCACATCACTAGTGGCTTGTTAGAAATACATAAAATGCATTGCTTTGCAACTTCCACCACCCTCTTCGAAAACAACCAAAACTCCCTACTGTCTTTCTGGTGTGGCAGCTCTGATTCAGAATCCAGACTGTAACTGGATTCCATTCAGAAAATCTGTCCCTACAATATGTCACCTTGGGCACGTCATTTACCCCCTCAGTTTCCTCATCAGCATCCCAATGAGAATGTTTTTAGAAAACAAACTAAAGATGTAAACACATCTTAGGAATTATTACATCTTAAGAGGGTTAAAAGCTTTACTGCTTAGGGCAACTTTACCTTCTTCCTTACAGAAGGCCCACATCACAAAATTGGAACGGAATCCCTGTATATCTGTCAACATTTGACTTTTCCTTCTACAATATTTTCTTCCCTCGAAGGGCATAACCCGAGTCATAACCAAGAGCAGACTCCGAAGCACCCCCTCCTTCCCTTCCTTACTTCTAAAGCTGGGGGGGAAATTACAGCTTCACCTCCCCACCCCAAGCCACACCTTCAGAGGACCCCACCCCAGGCACATCCGCCCTTTGCCTCCTCTTGGGGCACCAGGCTAACCTCGCCCTTCCCCTCCCGCCCCCACCTACAGGAGACTTCCTGGAGGCGTTCAGGCCCAGGCTGAGCAAGCGGCATTTCCGAACCCGCTTTACGCCATTCGCGTAGGGTAACCTCGCTTACGCCTATCGCAGGGCCCGGTTCCTAGCACCGACTACTCCGCCTGCCAAACTCAAGCCCGAGTGCCTCAGCCTCAGCCCCGACGTGACCCCAGACCTCTTCTGGTCTGCTCGGGGCTACAGGGGCTGGGCGAGAACAGCCACACCTTACCGACAACTGAGGCACTGACTTCACTTCCCACCTTTGGAGCCCTCTTCAACTCCCGGATCAATTCACTCCGGCTACGCCGGAAGGACCCGAGAGGAACCAGGCGTTGTCCGGAATCCTGCCCAGCCGGAGTCGCGCAAGGGCCTATGGGGACTCGTAGTCCCACTCGCCGGCTTTGTCGGCAAGCCTTGCTCGTGGTGAAACTACAATTCCCGGCAGGCCAGGCGGTGGAGCCCAGGGCGATGGGTGGGGACACTTCTAGCCAATAGCAGGAGAGTTCCCTGCCTGTGCGGGCGGAGGTGAGCAGCAGAGAGAGGGCGCACGGCGAGAAGAGGAAGGGAGGGGTCAGCTCTCACCTGGGCCAATCAGGGCGCGGGGTCGGCCCCGCGGGCGACTCACCAGTTGTGGGGCGGGCTTGCAGAGAAAAGGAAGGGGCGGAGGGAGGGTGAGAGGCGAGCTAGAAGCGGCGACCGCCTGCTGCTGAACTGTGGACTCCGCGCAGGCGGAGTCGAAGCTTCAGGGGACTGGCCGGGGTGGGGTGAGGGCGCGGGGTGGGGGTGCGCCCCGATCGGTGGGGCAACTTCTCTGACAGCAGCCGAGCGCCGGGCACACCGGGCGGCCAGACCAGGGAGAGGTGGAGCCTGGTCTCCGCACGGAGGGTCCCGGGAAGCAGATGGCAGCTTCAGGTGTGAGGCTGCAAAGTGCGGGGGGCGAGGTCTCCAGAGCAAGGCAGACCTGCTGCAGAAGGACCCGGAGAGGAGGATACGAGGGCCGCCGCTTCCCGCCGCCTCCAGCCTGGGCGGCCGCGAGCAGCAGGGGGAGGAGCAACAGCTGCCGAGTTCGCCAACCGGAGGAGGGGGGCGGAGCCCGGGTCCCCGTAGGCGCCGAGGGCGCAGCCTGCTCTGTAGCTTCCCGGGAGAGCGCAGCGGGCACGCCGGGGAGCGCGGTCCTGCTAGCGTCGGCGCCAGCATCCAGCCGGGGGTTGCAGGTGTGTGGGAGGTAAGCGCGGGTGCCGCTTCTGGCCGTGTGCACTCTGCCCGTGAGACATCGTCTTCCAGTAGGAATTCTGTCAAGGCACAGCTAGAACGAGTCCCTGTTCGGGGTAGGGAACCGGTGCAAACCCTTTTAGGTGGAAGATGTACATTTTTTGGACTTTGGGCTCGGGGGCGTGGGAAGCAAAAGGAGGCTTGACTTTGGGAACAAAGGGCGTGGTTAGTGTTTACGGTGTGAGTAGTACCTTTAAAACTGTTCTGAGAGATCTTATAATTGAGGGAAACCCGGGGCAGTTCGGGTTGCAGGTGGACTGTATCTGGATAGGTACGTAGCTAGTTGAAAAACAAAAAATTTGTAATTGATAGAGAATTACTTCAGAACTCTTTTAGTAGCAATCCAACTTTGCATTTTTTTCAATATTTAGCCTTTATGTTGTTTTATCAGAATGTCCTACTACCGATCTGTTTCTCAGGGTGATTATACTGCAGTTTCTAGAATTCACAGAAATCTGTATTAAGCAAATGCAGGCAGGGATAATCAAGATGACTGAATCAATCAGAAGTATAACTTTTGCCAGCAATAATGTAAAAATGTGTTTTAATGGATGGATATTTAGCATTCCTTACGGTGGCTCTAGAATACTGGAACAAAGAGGTGGACTCAGCCTACAGTGGAAACATATGGTGTATTTCATTATGCTTCTTATTCTCTGATTTGTGTCTGATGATATTTGCACATTAAAAAAAAAGTAAAAGAAAAGCGGTGCGAGGATCTTTTCTCTTTATAGAGTGTGCGAAATGATTACCCTTAGTATGTGCTATGATAGGTTGGGACTTAAAAACACATGCATAATAGTGTTACGATAATAGTATCATAAAATAATAGTTTATTCTCTGAATTAACCATGTGCGATTTCTTTGAATGTAACTGCCTAGGGATGAAAATACGTTCTAATACTAGGTAAAGCAGAAAGTCTCGCCTACCCTTTTGTAACCAAGACAGAATTACAGCTGTTCTTTTTGGAAAGTATGTAAAAAACTGTTTGCCTCGTTCATTTTCTTTTCCTTTTTGTTACAGAGATTCCCCAGGTTACATAGATTTTAATCATAGTAGCATATTGCAGCACATTTTGCTCTGAAATGCTTTCATTTTGACAATTGTATATTTGAGTCTGTCTGACTACTTCTTTAACCTGGGTTTTTTTTTTTTTTTTTTCTTTTTTCAACTAGGGCCAATAAAATGTAGTAATTGCCTCCTGTTTTCTTGTTTCCTACTTTCCTGATTTACTAATGATTTTTGGTAATGCACATAAAATTACTTTTGAAAAAGGAATGACTAGAAGAAATTGTCCTCATAGCTTAAAGTTTGGTCTTACTGAATGCCACTACTGATAAGCCTAACTGACTGATAAATGCATATAATCCTTTCTTTAGCACCCTCTCCCACACACACTCACCAGAGAAACATATAGATGGACAGATCCTAGGAAAAAAAGCTGCTTTTTTGTTGCCCACCAAGCAGATCAGGTAAGTATTGGAATCTACAAATATCTGAGAAGAATGGAATAGCAACAATAGCCACTAAACTTAGCAGCCCTGGTAATTTTATGTGTTCTTCATCACTGAAGAGTCTATTAATCCAGATAGATGTTACGACCCTGAAAGAATGGTTTGAAGGAAAAATGGGCTCTAGAATGTAGTGAAGCTTAAAAAAGATTGTTTTCCTTTGTTATTTGTGATTAAGTAGATTGTCCTGAAATCAGAGCCTTAAATTCTTTTTTTTTTTTTGATGTTTATGACAATTTATTAATAAATTGAGTACTTTTAAATGGGCTATTTTGTTTTTTTTTTTTGTTTGTTTGTTTTTGTTTTTTGGTTTTTTTTTAAATAATAAATTTTATTTTTATATTCCCCCATACAATTGCAAACGCCCCATTCTGATCCCAATCCTTCCCCTCCCGCCCCCCACCCCCAAAAAAGTGTCTCTGGTTCATAGTTTTTTGTTGATTTTGATTTTCACTTTCTTATATTCATTTTCTTGGTCCCTTATTTAAATTTTCTAGATTCCTGCTATGAGTGAGACCATCCGGTATTTTTCTTTTTCATTTTGCAGAGCCTTAAATTCTCTCTCAGGCTCTGCTACTGATTCATTTTGTGAAATTGAACACTTGCTGTCACTGGGAAATTTCCCCCATGTAATAGAATGACTAATACTAATACTGGCAATGAAATTCTTTAAGTATCTTTATTAAAAGGTCTTTTTGAAAGACATTTGGGAGTCAGTAAATAGTACAGGAAACAAATAGTCAAAACTGTTGAAATTCATATGCGCTTTGAATCCCAACTATTGATATGATTTTTGCACTGAGGTGTCATAAAGGATAGAATCTCTAAGAATTGTAGTATTAAATTACTGGATTTTTTTATTCCAATATAAGATTTGGACTTTTTTATTATGTCAGTGAAAGAGATTTGAGTTCCTGTAATTTGGAAATAAGACCACTTTTATAAAGAAAAAAATCATTAGTAATGTAAGATACTAAATTTGTTGTCTTGAGTCCTGGGCATATTTTATTTTATTTATTTATTTTTTTGAGATTTATTTATGCACACAAGAACTATGGTAGAGGCCAGATGTGCAGGGGGTGAGAGGATTCACCAAAGACAGAGTGGGGAACAGAATAGGCAGACTGAAATATACTGCTGAGGGGAGCTGTAGGCAAGACAGGAGAGGTCTGCTGTGCCATGTGGGTAGCTCCCTGGCAGGCTTGGGATTGAAGTTGTGCTGCAGAGGCTGCTGATAGCTTTGCAGTGCTGTGCTTAACCCCTTGTGCTACCAGGGAGGACCTTTTGGCACTTTTTTTTTAAGATTTTTTAAATTTATTTTATGCATAAATTTAAATTATGCATACAAGAGCTGTGGTGCAGACCAGAGATGGGGGGGAGGTGAGAGGATCCACCAGAGGCAGAGTGGGGAACAGAACAGGCAGACTGACTGAAATACACTGCTGAGGGGAGCAGCGGGCGAGACAGGAGAGGTTGGCCTCACCGTGTGGGTTTCTCCCTGGCTGGCGGGGGATCAAGCTCATGCTGCAGAGGCTATGGATTGCTTCATAGTGTGGTGCTTAACCCCTTGCGCCAACAGGCAGGCCCCCCACCTTGGCACATTTTAAATGGGTGTTTCCATTAAGTAACATCACCCTCCCGTAATACGATTACTTCTTGATTGTTATTTGTGGTGAGCAGGCTCATTATGGACAGTTTATAATCTTACGTAATGGCCTATCTAGATTCACAAATATTACTCATTTTGCTCTTGATATTTTCTATTTGTATTTGAGTATCAGTGAGTATGTGGTATCAGAAAGAAAAACCAATGGACTATAGAATATCTTTCTTGAAAATGCTCTAGAGATGAATGCTCTTTAGCCAAAAGATTTGGTTAATTTCAAATTACAATATATTTTGAACTTTTTTATTTTAAATTCTGATTCTGAACCAATTGAGTAGCATGATTTCTCATTTCAGCAGGACATCTTTTTCTAACATTCATTGATGTGTGTAGTGCAAAACAGCAAGACTAACAGGTTCAAGATCAAATGGTTTGGATGTTATCATGTGGTGGGAGGAGACTTACACAAGGATATATAGATTTGAAGGAAACTGTTTGAGAAATATACCCGTAGCAAAAGAGAAAACAGATTTTTTTTTATTAAATGCCTATTAGTGATTACATGGCCTCTGCTCCCGCCACTCCAGTCATTAATTTCAAGAGACTTATATACATAGTGAAAAACAGTGCTGAATTTGTAAAAGTCTAAAATGCTTCCTTCCACAAGTTGTAACAGAAGTTCTTGAACTACACACTGAAGATAAGTAAGTGCCCCTCACCCCACCCCTGACATTTTAAAGCAAATTCCTAAGGTTAAAACCTCTTTGGGGAATCAGGATTAAATATTATACAAAGGTAAAGATTTTTTTTCCTTATTTTCAAATTTACTTCTTATGTTTTCAGAATTTAGTCCCTACTTTTGGTATGTGTTTTTTATGTAACTAGATAATTAGCCTCTGGAGATAGTATATTTCTTTTCTATTTCCTCCTCATTCTGAGCACATTATGCACCTTATGCACAACATTAAAAAAAGGTGCCCTATAACTACTTAAGTATAACTACTAGTCAATGCTTCTTTAGCATACACATTGACACATCGACACATCTTACACTGAAAAACAAGAATCAAGGGACCTCACGGAATAATTAGTGTACTTTAGTTTTTCTGAGAATGTACTGGTTAGCCTTTACAAAAGTGGCAATCTAGTCGAATTTGATTGAGATGGTGTGTGGCACAAAAAATTAACTATATCTTTGCATTTCTAAATTCATCCTAGAATTAAGAAATATAAGAGGGAAAGGGCTCTCCCACCATTTGCATCAAGAGTCTGTATTTTATTGCTAGGCAAGCCTGTGGCTTAACCACCATTTTATCCCCAAGCTTTCATAAACATAATTTCATTCTATAAATAATCATTCTGTTGCGGAGGGGCCGAGGGGGAGGAAGGGACTGGTTATATTTACACACACATATAATTAGGCATTTTTTGTATTTCACCTTCCAGAAATAGATTAATCTCGTTAATGCTTCAATTAAAAATGTGATTTTTTTTGGCCTCCCCTGATGGTGCAGGCAGTTGAACCTGCACTGTGAAGCTGCCCGCAGCCTCTGCAGTGCCGGTTCCATCCCGGCCAGCCTGCGAGGGTCCCGCCGCAAGGCGTGGCAGACATCTGTCGCACCCGCTGCTCCCCTCAGCAGTGTATTTCGTCAGTCTGCCTGTTCTGTTCCCCGCTCTGTCTCTGGTGAGTCCTCTCATCCTCCCGCGAATCTGGCCTGTACCACGGTCCTTGTATAAATAAATAATTTTTTTTAAATGTGATTTTTTTTCTTTTATTATTATAAGACCTAGAGAATTCAACTTAATTGTAATAGTTCTTTAGTAGTACATTTAAT